CACTTTGCTCTCCACTACCTCTGAAAGTTAGAGACCAGTTAATTTTTTGTTCCTAAGTGTAAGATATAAAAAGGGCCAGTTGAGTTTTGATGTATCCTAAACTATTGTTTAATTTTGCACCATGCTGTCATTCAATTTCCTTACTGTGTATCTAAACCAAATATTTTCTGCTCTTCACAAAAATACTTATGTGAGATTTAAGGCAGACGTTGCTTTTCCATGACATCAGTTTTGCACAGATCTCCCTCCCTTCTGTACCTCCCTGCAAACCCTTCTGCTTTTGGAATTTGCTATAGGAGCCCTCTAGGTATTGCCACAGTTACAGTCCTCATCTGCTAACCCTTCTTTGGACTGCACTGGCTTTTGACAAAGGAATGTTCATTTTACTGTTTCAGCCAAGTGCTGTGTTTTCTGGATGATCTATTTTCTATTAGACAGAGTGTTTTTATCTGCTTGCCTGTTTTTATTGCAAGCTCCTTGACTACACCATTGGGTTTGTATGATGTCATAGACATCATGAGCAATATGAGGAGAACCAGAGAGCAGGGGGGAGTCATTGCAATTTCTGATGGTGATTTCTTCTGTGTGGTTTTAAGCCAGTCAGTTCACTGCTCTATTTTTCTTTCCTTGCCTCATGTTTTCATCTACCTTGTTTGCTTAGGCAGCTTCACAGCATAAGATTTGTGTGTGTCTTTACAGCTGGGCCTGCCTCAAGTTGGTGCTGCTTTTAGAAGCAAATATATTGCATGTACAGAAAAAAAGAAAAATTATTTTGTTGGGCATTTGCTATGCCAGGAGCTGTGCAGAGACTGCTCAATTTTGCTCATGTTATAGAATAATCCTTGTTCCTATTTAGGCTAAAATACATTTTAATCCTTCACCTAGGGATTTGTAGATTCAAATCCACAATTTCCTAGCAGGGTTAAGTTTTGTTTGACCCTTATAGATAAAATCTGTGCCTGCATCATCATCCAGTTCCAATACTCAGTTTCAGAAGCTTGAGGGCTGGGGAGATCAGGATATGGATCTGAGTTAAATTCCCTAACTTGTGCATGTATAAATATTTCTCCTTTTCTTCTTTCTTCCCTAAAAATTTTATTTCAGTGCAAATTTTGTCATCTCAGAAAGGGAGTAAAAAACAATTTCACACTGCTATGTTCCTTTGATTTGTTTTTTGAGTTGTGTCTCCCCTTTTTTAGTACTTTGCTTATTATTGCTGTGTTCCTCGAATTGTCTTCCTCCAGCATTCCCAGATATGCAAATCTCTGCCACCGCCATGCCGTGTTTCTGTTGTCCTCCTTCACCTTCTCCCCAGCACTGCTGAGATTTCCAGAAAGTTTCATGTTCTTCTGTAGCCACCACGTGTCCAGGTCCTGCCTCCCAGGAGTGATTCTGCTGCCTGTTTGCACTGTGCCCTGAAGAACCCTGTCTGTTTTCCAGCAACACACAAGCTGTTTTAAGACTTCATATGTGCTCTTTTGATGTCCTTGATAATTACTTTTCCCAAGACAGAATCCATTCCTTGTACAGGGTTTGTAGGCCTTAGATCCTTTTGCTTGTTGGTACAAAAGCTGTCTGTATACCTCCTATCAGTTGTGGCAACCCTTGGGTTCTGTTTTTTTAGCCAGACCTCTTCAGTCTCTCTTCTATCTACCTCTTAAGTGCCCCTACCTTCTACCTGCTAAATTATTTAATTTAGAATTTGTGTTAACCATTTGTGTGATTAACAGGTTTGGTTTGTGTAATGTTTCAGGATAGAACTTGAATAGAAGTTTCCATACAAAAAAAAAAAAAGTGTTGCAAATTATCACCTCAAAAAGGCTAAATTTGCCCAAGAGGATTCTCAGAGCCAGATTTCAGAGGTTCCTGGAGAATTTGGGGAATTCCAAGGATTCCCAAAAGCAGATTTGATTTTACCTGTAAAACCATAAATAGCCTATGTTAAAAACAGCAGTGTTTTACAGACCATGAACTAGAGACAATGGATTTTAATGGCTTGCTTGGGGTGATTGAAAAGTGGTTTTTTTTAGTTTATAAGTAATGTCTGCAAAGTTAAACAGCTGGTTTCTCTTCTCAGTTGCAATTACAAAATTTTGCTCTTGAAGTGGAATTTTTATGAAAATACTAAATAAAGCTTTCATTTCAACAATCTGTACCATCATGCATCTGTTCAGGGGGTTTAGGGCAACCTGGGAGATTTAGGGGTGCAGATTCTATTCAAAATGGAGCCTGAGGTAAATATAAACTAAAATAGATCTGTAAATATGGAACTGCTTCTTAAAAATAAATATTTTTATTTTGTGGCTACCAACAGAATACTTGTGTACATTCCTTCTGCACCTTAAACAGCAACTGGAAATTGGTTCATTCTGTGCATCGAGTAACAAAAACTGTAGTTTTAAATTTTTTATTTAAATTTTTTTAACTGAGTTCAGGTTAAGATTTGTTGCAGTTACTGTTAGTAACTAAAGTAACTAAAGTTCGTAAATAAAGCTGAATCTATGAGCTTTTTGATTATAACCAACTGTGATTCAATATTACATATATTTTCTGGCCTTAGGAACAATGAGCAGTGCTCTGAGGGTCAGATACACACTCAATGACTCAATGAAAGCAATTGAGGCAAGGTACCCAGGCTGCCCTCCTTTTGCAGAGGGTGAACATCCATCTCTGCGCTGCCATGGAAGTGCTATTGCTTCCCGGCACACACAGTTTTTGTCTGGCTTCTCTGCTGGCTGAGTGAGACACTGCTGCATGAGACCTCAGCAGAGAGATGAAAGAGATGCAGGAACTACATTCCCTACCAATCAGCAGGATCTGCAGAGTGGTGAAGCTGGTGCCTTGCACGAGCTGTGACGTGATGTGATGTCTGTAAGTAAGGTCCCCAGGCAGTGCTGAGGGGATGCCAGACAGTAGTTTCTGTTTGGTAGTTTCTGTTTGCTGTAACACTATTTGACAAGGGAAGCTGCAGGAGGAGGCTGTTTTGAGCAGAGGAACATCCTCTTGGTCTGTTGTGCTTGTTTCTTCCCAAGAAACTGTTTTCCCTTTTCCTCCCTATGCTTTGCTACTCTAATTTTTCCTGCTATTGATTTTGCTGCTGAAAGTCCCAATTGCTTGGAGGAATCAAAAAGCCCAAGCTCAAATAATCCATCCTGAAAACACCTCAGAAATAGCAGTGTTATTTTCCACACCCCTTCCTTGAGGAGAAGTGCTGGGCCATGGTCAAATACAATCAGCTTCTAGCTCTTACATCACACAGAGAGGCTGGGGTGGAAGAGCTAAAAAAAATACTTGAAGCCATAATTTATTCTAAGTTTGGAGAAAACTATTTCAAATAACTTTTTGTCAATGAGGAGAAGCAAATATATCTGGTTTTAGTAAAGCAGAGCATTGCAGGCAGTGTTTCCACTCTATCCCAAATGTCATAGCTGTATTTTGCTGACATACCCATGTATATGCAATTGCAGGAAAAGCTTACGACAAAGACCCTTCAGCATCTCCTGGGCCAGGCTGGCAGAAGGAGCTCAGCTTCTAAATTTCAATTTAGGACATCCAAAACTTAATAAAGAGGGGTGCTGCTTTCCCTCTTCTCATCACTCTGCACAAAACCATTTTGTTGTTAATAACAAAAAAAAGCACTACAGAAAATTAATCAATCATAAATATCCATAAGGTCCTGGAGAAATATCACTCTCTTTCTTCCAGTAAAATAGATGAGGCTCATTTATGTTGTGTTTCAATAATTTTTCATAGTAAAGAACTTCACAGACACTAACTATCTTGGAAGTGGAATCTTACAGTTTAATTTTTTAAAGAAGTTTTTAAGAGAAACTTAGAAATGTTTGAGAAATGTAATTGATAAAATTATTGGTGCATTTAATTGCATAATGAAAGTGACCATGGTAACTGGATAACCATGTTAGCTGGATATTCTCCTATTACAGCTGATCATATTAGTTATTGCCAGTCTGTTGGCACTCCAAGAAGTATATGCTCAGTTGCAGGTCTTTCTGGAGGGTTCTTTTTCTGAACTCCTTACTGAAATAAGTCAAAGTCCAAATGAACCCTGAATTGCACAGTAATAAGTTTCCTTATTGACTTGCAGAGCTACCAATTAAAAAAAAACCAAACCAACCAACCTAACCAAAGCCGCAAAGCTTTTGTAATTAAAGTGTTGGAAGCAAGAGAGAAATTGTTGGACAAAGCCTGCTGATAACAACACACAAAAGAATGGGAAAATAATTGCAGAATGAAGGAACTGAGTATAATTTTCCTGCTTTCTTTGTTACAAATTCTATCTATTTTTCTCAATATAGCTGAATAATAATTGTTGCTATATATACAGTAACAAAAACTACACCCTTTAGAAGAATATTTCCTTACACTGCATCATTCCTGATTACAAAACAAATATTCAAATAAAAATCAACCACAAGGCATAATTTAAATTGCAACAATGAACTGGTTCTTCTCATGTAGAGCAGCTTTCCAGCAGAACCTGGGTCAAGCAGGATGAAAAGAAGATGCCATGATCTGGCAAGTGAAGCCAGCTGAGCAGAGCACAAACCTTTGTGTCACCCTGAGCAGGGAGCATTCCCGAGTCAGGCATACAAGGAGTGCCTGCTGGTGCTCAGCGCCTGCCAGCACTGCACATATGCAGGGCAAAACATCAGCACGAGTCCTGTCAAAGCCAAGTGTGCCCTGTAGATGTCTGGATCCCCTCAAGGACAGGCAAAGGCAGGCATTCCCAAAGACAGGAGCTGAATTCCAGAGCTACCTGGTTTGTTGAAGTGCATCTGCTGTATGAACTCGTTTTCTCTGCCAGGAGAACTAGAGCAAGTACTTCTACACACCCCAGCACATGGGCCAGTCCCACCACAAGCTGACCCAAGAGTGCCTGGAAGAAATTTACCAGGCTTCTCTTTTAATATTCTGACCCTTTTACTCCCTTTGCTTTTGTGTATTTACTCTAAAAAAATAAAGCATCACATTACAAAGTTATTTCTAAGGGATTTAATTTAGGAAGCTCACACAGTGAGTGACAAAAAATAAATAGTATTCATGAGGCCAGGTTCTAGACTATGTTAGGGGAGCTCAGTTTCTTTCACCTGGAGAGGAACATCTCCCACCACCAAATAAAAAGTGCACTATGTAGTATTTATTTATTCTGCTCCATCACCACAATTCTGTGCCTTTCCAGCTGTGATACTGTCAAGGGAAGGATACCAGCTTACCAAAGCCCAGCTGCCAAGACAGGAAGAAGTGCACACGGAACTTGAAGCTGATGCTTTTCTGCCAGGGCTGCTGCAATAAATTCAACCCACTTGCACCAAGATACAAAAAGAATAGTATCACACATTGAAAAACAGAGAAATAGGTTTTAATCATCTAAGAAACACATCCGTTTTATTCAGCTGCCAAACATAACAATTCAGTTTTAATTCGACTTGAGGTCTTCAGCCTCCTCCTTCTAAAGCCTGCAAATTTTCTAGATACTGGGTAACAGCCTCTATCTCTGCAAACTCCAATAGTCTGTTGATGAGCTTATCCAGTGCTTCTTTCCCACTTAGAATTTCCTATGAAAAAAAGCAGACAAAAGCATTACGGACTGTCCTTAAGCATTATCCTGAAACACCAAGTACTCAAACCCCTGAAATGCACTTTGCCTGCAGTCCCTCCACTTGCTCATCCTTGCAAGTCCCTCCCATGTGAAAGCAGCAGTGGTGGACAGCAGCAGGACACAGGACATCAGCTGCCTGCCTGCAAGGCACATGGATTCTGGCAACAAAAGCAGCTAATACCCTACTTTCATGTAACCCATGCACCTACATGAAAATTCCCTGCAAGAACAATCTAAGATTGAAGAACCTCATTCAAATACTGTTGTCCATGGCAAGAGTGAGACTGATTTGCAAGCAAAGCTTGATTAACTTTTGTCAGGCAGTTTATGGTTCCAGTTTCACTCAAGAAAGATCCAAACACTAAGTAACTGGCTAACAAAAGCCACTTTTATGCAGTCATGGAACTATCTTCTGCCATGGTATTCTGCACTCCATTAACTATGAACCATTCCAAATTCAGTATGCCCTGCATTCCCTGGAGTTACCCAGGACACCTGTGGGTAGTTTGAAAAGCACCACTCCTTATGCAACAGCACTTAGAGCAAACTGGATACCTAAGCCAAAATATTGAGGGATCATTCTAAACTTTGTTTTTCAAAAATTTAGTACAAAAAAATCCATTATTAGGGTTTTTTTTCAATTGTAAAAAAACCCCAATAAACAGAATCATAGATTCACTTGGAAGGTACAGTAAAGATTATCCAGTTCCAGCTCCTCCTCCCATGGGCAGGGACACCTTTCACTAGACCAGGCTGCTCAAAGTCCCTCCGACTTGGCCTTGAACACTTCCAGAGATGAGGCGTCCACAACTTCACTGGGCAACCTGCTCTAGTGTCTCTTCACCCTCACAGTAAAGAAATTTTTCCTAATCTCTAATCTAAATATACCTTAGTTTAGTTTGAAGCCATTCCCTCGTCCTGTCACTACATGCTCTTGTAAAAATCTCCCTCTTTCTTGTAGGCTCCCTTCGAGTACTGGAAGGCTGCAGTTAGGTCACCCCAAAGCTTTCTCTTTTCCAGGTTGAACAATCAGTAAGATTCAAGCATATGCAGACATTTACTCAGAAAATCTTAAAATGAAAACATTAAATTTCAGTTTCTTTTAACTGTGGCCTGTGATGAAACACAAAAGTTTATTTCATTCTTTACTCCAGCATTAGGAAGAGAAAAGAATGGCCTAACAAAAATAAAAAGTCCTTCCTGTCAGGTTTTTGGTTTGGATGTACTACGCTTCAAGAATCTCAAATGTCACTTGGCCAGTTTGGCCAAAGGACTCATGGATCTCATTGAGGATTACATGCTGGGTCACTTTCCACTCACATAGTAGGAGAAAAACACACAGAGAAGTAGGCTAGTGAGCTACAGCCTGTGCCAGTAATCTCTAAGACTACAAGAAGGCAGGAAAGAAAGTTTGAACTTTCTAAATCTAGTGTTCTGTCAGAGCACAACTGGCTACCTTCTTTACATACAGACATCTATATCTTAAGTTGTACTCACTAAGTTAATTTTTTATTTTTAATGGTAAATGTGAGTATCTAAATACCCTCATAAGGAGCCCTTACCTTAATATTGCGGGCATCATATGAGATCCTGTGGTCAGTCACTCTGTCCTGGGTGAAGTTGTAAGTACGAATTCTCTCTGACTGGGCTCTTGTTCCCAACTGCAGCAAAGCAGGAAAAAACAAAATCTGTTGTGTTTTCAAAAAACCAAATACTTCTCTAGAACAGGATGCTTAAAATAAACTGTAATGGGTCAGCCTGTTCCAACTACCAACCTAGTGGTCACTGACTTGGCACATGGGATTTTTAAAAATATTGTGGCATTACTGAACTGTGATTCTGTATCACAGACCAAGTTTCTATATCCTCCAGCACATTTCTGTTCTAGCTCTGTAGCTGAAAGAACCACGTAACTCTCAAAGGTTGTGTAAGGTACAAAAGTCCTTACTTCAAAAAAGATACAAGTGGGGTTTACTGTGGGGAGGGGGCTTTCTATCTTCCCCACAAAATAATTAAATTAGGCTCCATTAATAATGGCAGCACAGTCAATGTGTGGTTGTTGGAAATTAGCACCAAAAGAGACTTAGATTAAGAGTAAGAAGTTAAATTACCCTCTAGTGGTGAAGTGTGAGAGTGCAAACAACAATTTTAACTTTAAGCAGAAACCCAAATGTAGCACTGTTGGGATTAAACACTTCACTAAACACTGTGGTCTCTGCTAAGATGGAGAATTAAATGCTAAAAAACGCTCAGAGAAATAAATATGTGTCTGTTTCAGTGGCCTTTGGTGAAAATTTCATCTGCACTCAACATGTATATTTTAGAATGTGGAATTTCTTGAATAAATTCTGAAACACTAGGAAAGGTAACTCACTTCTGACTGATTTTCCACACTAGTCGTATAAATATACATAAATATAAGAATATAAATATAAATCCTTTATGCAGCTTTGAAGGCTCTCAAACTGAAATTAATAACAAAAGATAATTGGCTCGCTGTTTTCAGTCCGGGACACTCACTGCTTACATTGGGGTTAATAATCTGCAGGGACAATACACTTAAATGCAACCTGAAATAAGTGACTAAATAGCTGGGCTCGAAAATCTGGAGTACTGAGTAATTCTCTAATTCTGAAGCATTTTTACTTCAATAGATCACTGTTGAAGTTTGAACCACAAATGGGAAAACACTCAAAGAATGGGAAAAGAATGACAGGACATTTTGAGAGAAAAGCACACTTTGTAGCCAACTTGAGGTAACTCTTCCAGAAAGTTTCTTCCTCAAAAGGTTACCTAAACTGTATCAAATAAGCTGCTACTTAATTGCATAGTGGCAGTATTGTCATTTACTTGTTTCTCTCAAAGTCTCTGTATGGCCTTAAAATACTCTCCTTTAGAAACTTCTGAGAACTGCAGATCTACTGGAAACTACTCCACTCAGTAGTTTTCTTTGAACGTAACTTTCTACTGATGCTTAATTTCTGTAACTCTGGCTTTAACGGGGACATTCAGTACATGATGTTGAACTTTCCCTTTTGAAAAATTTCAGCCAGTCTGTTTACCCTTTTTTCCAGCCATGGTTGATGTCTCTTTTCATTGCCTGAGAAGTCTACAATACCATTGCACTGCGGTAAGTAAAGGTAGACTTACCATTTTGAAGTACAAGATTCTCCTGCCTTGCAAGCACCTTTAGTTTAGACAGACACTCTCACTTGCTCTGTCCCCATCACCCAGAGAGGTCAGAAACAAACCTACAACACAACACAACGCCCTCTCCAGATCTCAGGCACCGCTTGGCTCACCTGCAGCTTCCTGGCGCTCTGCTCTTGACTGAGCTGCTTTTCAAGGAGCTGCTGGTACAGCTTAGCTCTCAGTGTCCGCAGAGCTATTTCCTTGTTCAGCTGCTGCGACCGCTCCTGCTGGCACTCAACTGCCAGTCCTTCACAGAGGCATCCAAGAGCCCATCAGAACAAAGAACAAACAAGCTGAATTAATTCTAACACATTAGGCAAATGAAACCTACTGGAGTGCTGGTTTGTAGGGCCTTTCAGCTGTAGGATAAAACGTCATTTTAACACACTGGCTAGAACCATTAGTGTGTTTTTAAACTTGTCACAGCTGCACCGGGGGGTTTTGTTATGTGCTACAGAAAAGTAGAAAAGTCGGTGATATTTTAAAATTTCATTAAGCAAAGAAATTTCTGACATTGCCTCTAGAAACTGGGTTCACTCCAATTAGCTGTCATATGTTAAAAATGCAATTTGAGTCCACAGTCCACAAGAGGATGTTTAAAGGAGTGTAACACAAGTTTTTAAAATCTTAGCCCAGATAAGGTCTTGGAGACTGGAAAATTCATTATTCTAGGAGAAAGGGGTGCCTAATCAACACTGGTGAGTCTTGAACTAAATTATGAAAAATGAGATAAAACAAGACCTTTAGGACTTGAAAACAAATGCGTAACTTCTCATTTGATTTCTGAATGAAAAAGGCATATAGAGAATAGCTGCTTTCAGATCAATTTCCTGTGCCTAAAGTGATTCTGTATCTTACAGAGAGAAGATCAGTGAGTTTCAATAAAACAAATCCCAAAAAAGACAGAGTGGTCCAGTCTACACAGTACCTTCCCATCAATATACACTCTCCTTTCTATCCAACATATGACAGCATTATCTAGTATTGAATGAAGATCTTCAAGCCTTCTTTTTAATCAGTCATGTAACTACACAGATTCCTGCTAGGCTAAGCATGCCCTTGCTACTGCTGAAGGTACAGAGCACACAGGGCAAATTATTTACATTTTCTACTCCATCCCTGTCACCCTCCATTTGTTCTTTCATCCTTGAAAGACAGTGTATTCATGAAACACTCCCTCTGAAGACAGAACTGGCATAATCATTGTGCCCCTGGTACACAGCCCCTTTCTTACATTGCCTGGCTACAAGAGGGACAGAAACAGAAGGGGCTACTTCTCCTTTCTTGGTATAAGGCCTAGCCCTGAAAGAAACAACTTGCAGAATCACAAGCTTCCTTTTCAAGATACAGATTCATTGTAATTAGAAGTGCAAAGTACAGGCAGACTTACCTGTAGGAAGGTGCACAATCCTCACAGCACTATCAGTTTTGTTAACGTGTTGCCCTCCTGCTCCTTTGGCTCTGAACGTATCTATACGCAAATCTTTGGGATCCACTTTAACATCAACCTAGAATCAAAGAAAATTAGTACTTCCTGCTCATTCTAAAATATTTGGACATCAGTGACACTCAGCATTAATAAGAAATAATTTCTCAAAAAACTGCTCCTTTACAACTGTTTCTAAGTAACAGTCATAATCATGATAATTTAAAAAATGCAGTGTCAAATATCTCTGAAAAGCAAATGATGCCTTAAAGATTTCACTTAGTTTTTCAAACTCTTACTCCAGGTCCTTCACAAAACAAGGTATGTGTGTGTGTCAAACAAAACACAATCACTGTTTTTCAAAATCACTAGCTTTGGCAGAAAGGCCAAGAAATAAGCAAATATTTAAAAATCACTTCTAAACAGCAGTGCAAGGATCTTGTTTATGAGTCAAGCCTGAATGATTACCGCAACAGTACTTAGAATCATCTGAGGAGAAAATAGGATCCATTCAAGTAAGGATTGCTACACTGGAAACAGGAGTCCATGATGACCTGGATCATAGTCTGAGCTCAGTGGATGGGAAAAGAACATTCAGATCTGATCAATGTTGCAAGGAAAGTATTACGAAGAAGCAGGAGAAGGTGCAGGAAAAGCCTACAGGATCTGGTTTTGTATATTTTTTGTGTAAATTGGTGGCCTAAGTTAGAACTGTTGGTATTAGTGAGATCTCAGACTAGCCAACACACTCATTCACATTCAAAGGAGACCATCCTTGATTTACCAGAGAAGGACACCAATAATTTACATTAAACAAAAAAAAAATCAAAAGCATGTACAGAATCACATTACTATGCAACACTGAGTATTTTCTTGGATATATTCTGTGTCTTAGTACCTGACGTAATTTAAAATTGGCTTACTCATAGCAGTGAACCTTGTCAGTGTTGGGCCTGGAACACTTAATTAAATGATCACTCACTCACATGCTATTTCAGGCAACAGCAAATCTCTGCAAAGTTGCTTCTGATGATCCATTTATACATGTAATGTACAGAGCCAAGGACTATCACCATCCAGAGTCAGAGCACTTGTGGTTCATTTGCTGGGACTTGCACAAAACACTTGGTTATCAGTGAAATCCCCATAAGCAGTAACATGGTTTTACACCTATTCCAAAGCCAAAATGGGTGAGCAGGGGTTCCGCACCACCTTACCAACCCAATGAACAGCTTACCTCCTCTGGCTGAGGGAGGACAATGACTGACATTGTCCCAGTGTGAATACGCTGCATTCTCGATGACATGCCTGTCTCGGGGATTCGCTGGACTCGGTGAGTCCCTCCTTCATACTTCAGATGCCTGTAGACATTCTCTCCTGATATATGAGCAGCAGCATGATGCAAGCCTCCTGCAGAGACAAAGAGTGTGTGACAAATACAGTAGAGAAACACTGCTTTCAATTCCATGGTCTTGGAATCTCTGAAGAACTGCTGTACCTATCTCAGCCGGTGTATAGTTCACAATGTCAAAGGTCCAACGTTTGTAGTCAGCATAGCTCTGGTACATGTCAAACATTTCTTTAGTGAACTGTTGGCAGATGTCCCCTAAAAATTAAAAAGCATTACAACATAAACAGCAGTTTTTAGATTTATCTGCAACTCTAACTCCAGTCATTAGGCAGGTTAATGATCATCTTTAGAAAGTATTACTTTATGCCAGTAAAGTATAAAAAAAGCATTAAGAATAACCCATAAGAGGTTTAATGGAGTTGGATGGAGGTTGGAAGTAATCTTCACTGTAGGGGCTTTGCTGACCTCCAGTTGTTCTGCCAGCTGTCACTTCTAATATGACAGGACTTCTATCATATTTTTCCTTTGGCACTAGAAGCTGGAAAAGCTGAAAAAAAAAAAAAAAAAGAATGCCATTATCTCTGTCATGACCTTGGATCTTCTGTTAATCAAATTTACAGCCAGACATCACAATTGCCACAGCCTGAGCACACACAATCACTGACTTCCTTTGGCAAGCTAGTTAAATAGGACTAAACACTGTCCAATGACCATTGCAACTCAGTGCAGTCAGTGTGGAAATGCAAGACACTAGTGCATCCACATGAAAGCTAGCTGAAAATCTGGTCCTGCCAAGTCAGGTACACACCACAGGTCAACAATACCACTCCCAGTTACCTATGAAGACAAAGTTATTAGCTAACCCAGCCAGTTTTTGCGTTAATCTTATTCAGAAAGTCACATTTCATATTATTTTAGTCTGAGTATAGAAATAAGCCCAAACACAGTGGTGCCCAGTGAATTGTTTCAACTTCTTTGCTTTTATCTTCCCCACTCATGGAATGCTGTCAGCTGAAGAGAAAATGAAGGACTGAAAGTTCCAATCAGAACTCCTTCAAGAGTGCATGCTCCACTGCCACAAACAGTTACTAGGATGCTATGTCAAATCTTAGTAGCACAGACCCAACACTTTTTTAATCCCCTTCAGCATTTGCAGACAGACAAGCAAGCAAGAGAAATTACTCAATCATTTCCTAAGACACAATTGTCACTAAGAAGCTTATTAGTAATTAATGTTGCCACTTCTTTTCAGGGAGAATACAGAAGATGGACTTCTGTTTCATCAAATTCAAGTGTCAGAATCTATTGGTAAGATCACAGAGGAAAGGTTTTCTGACATCTTTATTTACAAAGCTGTAAACATTTACCTCAGGCTCACCTTTCTGCACAACGTGTTCATTTTTTTATCCAGGCTTTCCTTCTCTTCTAAGGCAAGCTCTAGAAGTTGTTTCTCATCTCTGCTGTTTAGTTCTAAATTAGAACAACAGGAGTAGATGTTAGCCAATCTCACCTAGAGCAAACTATAACACAGCTGTCCAAAGACATGTGCTGCAGCACAGCAAAGCTAGTAATGTTTTGCCAGCATAAGATACTCAAATAAGAGCAGCCCAAGCTAGGATGCACTTTGCTAACTCAATTATCATATTTTCCAGGTGTGCTAGAAGGAGCAGCAGATATTTTACGTGTGATTAGACTGCTCCTTCCCCCATTTTAGAACTTACTAACAAACTACAACACATTCTCAGGTAAAACTCACAGAAGCTCCAACCCTTTTCTGCTGTGGAGGCTCCAGCTCACAGTAACAAAAAATGCTGATCAGTTAGCAATAGATTATACACCAAGTAAAAACTTGGAAGACAGTTGGAGTCAAGTGGAAAACCTGTCACTGCTGAAACAAGGAACTCCTTTTCATCTTTCTTTCCACTCTTCTACTCACCAGAAAGTGAGCAATTCAACTCACTGAAATGAAAAAGCAAGTCTGGTTGAATAAGCGCACATTTTTGCCATGCCAAGTTGAACTAGATTTAAATTACAACGGGACAATTATCAACAGAAATTAGGAGGGACTGGCTGAAGCCAGCTTTGAGCAGCTGGGAGTAAGAATGATAGAACAAAGCAACAAAGAGAAGGTGAAAATCTTCTGCCTAGTAGCCAGTATGGAAACCATAGATTTGTCTCAGATGCAGCATAAAACTGGACTCTCAATTGCTTCTAGCTGGTCCAAAAAGTATGTTTATTGATCAGTTAGATAAACAGTATCAAATTAAATACTGTCAACAGCACTGAGAGATGGTCTGATGGTGACCAATGAGCTTAAGATTCAAAGGATTGGTATCCCATTCCTACCTCCCTTCAAAACAGAATTAACCTATCTCGTCACTCACAGCACCAGAGGGAAACTGGGAAATATTTTTCTGTTCACTGAATGTTGCAAATATAAAATCCTACATCAATTGTCAGGAATTCAGATACTAGAGAGAAGAGGGTCAGTTAGGGAGCTAAGTGGAAAACAGGGAACAGCCAAATGAAGGGGACATCTGTGTTTTAACTTGGCCACAGAATAAATGGTACAGACAGAATAATTTGGCTCTATTTAATTCATGTATTTGCTGTAATTTTTTACCATTCTTTTTTCCTTCTTTCAACTAGAACTCACTCCATCCCTCCACAACATAATTTATGGAATTAGGAAAATTCTTCATTATATTACTTTGATCCAAAACCAGCCTTTCTAAGTTGAAATATGAATTTTCCAGAATTTTCTTAATACTTTTTAATTCTTTCAAGAACATTTATTTTTCAGGACTAAACTTTTGTACCTTGTCTCCTTCACTCTTTCTCCTCTTTTCTCCAGTGAAGAGAATTAGAGAGGGTTGAGGATTAACATAGTTTAAATAACCTTTCTTTATTTCCCAAAAGCACAAGCATCTATTTATTTCTAAAACAAAAACATACAAATGTTTTCTACCCATCTAAATAAGTTACATTTACATCTTTATTTCAGTATGTCTCTTACTGTTTTGTCCACACCCCTTGTCTCTCTCTCTGAAAAGCACCATGAACTTTTGTCCTCCTCCATTTACACTGCTGGGCACTGATTTCTCCTGTCCTTTGATTTTCGCCTCCTTCACTGCTTTAATGCAAACCCCTTTCTCTTCAGGTCAGCGTTTCCCTCTCTGGGCTTAATACTTACCATGGTAGCAGAATGGATGCCATTTTTTCCTTCCTACCTTGTGCACCTCCTCACACTTGTAACAATGGTGGGGCTTTTTCCCAAATGTTGCACCATTACTTATTTTGTAAATTCTTTTATTTATTCCCTCTGTACTTTCTTATTCCTAAATGGTACAAAAACCAGTTAAAAGTTTTAATTCGCTTTTACCACAACTTTTACTGTACCAGGCTATTGAAAAACAGCAGCTTCTTACACAACCATCATTTTTTATTCCCCAAATATTTTTAAAGAAATATTAGCTTTTGCCATTTAAATTGGAAGCTGACAACTCAGAGCCTAATGAAAGTTCATGTCATTTGCTCAATAAATATCACTGAACTGGTCAGGTGGAATCCCATTTTAAATAACACGGCTGAGGTCTGCATCTATCAAAGGTTTTAGCCTTGCTAATATTTTTTTCCTTTCAAACTTCTCTCAGTTCAAAAAATAACCTCAAAATGAACACTTCCCAACTATTTCTGTTAGATGGGTATCACTGAGGTTCCCTATTCTCCCAAAATTACCATATTAAGACCTCAAATTAAAGTGAGGTGAAATGAAAAACAGAAGGATGTGGTTGGATGCAGAAAGCCCTTGTAGCACACAAGTCCCCAGAAGAAGGGAGGACCAGAGAGTGTTCCAGGGCTGGCTGAACTTACAAGCTTTCCGCAAAGGCTGGGCAATGAATTTATCACAAGCACAGCTGCTGTTCTGAAGCAAGCAACTAGATGTTTTCCTTTACCTGTGCACATCGCTTCTAACTCCTGAACTTCTCTTTCAGCCTCTTTGATTTCTTGAAATGCAGTTGCAATGGGGGACAGATCGGCACATCTCCTCCTCAGGGTACTTTGCTCAAAGTCATTTAATGAGTGTGCACTTAACTGATGACTAACCTCCTGGTATTCCTTGCTGAGAGACTCCAGATACTTCTGCACAGCCTCATGCTTCCACAAAGCTTGAGAATCCTGGTGGTTTTTCCTGTGCCAACTCTTAAAAGACAGAGTGAATCTAGCTGTGTCCAATAAAGGCTTTGGCCTCCAAAATCCGTGGCTGTGTAGTCCCACCATGCAGCCTATCTTCTTTGCAACAGGAGGGAGAAGACAGCTGTCAAGTTGGCTGTGACAGCAGCAATTGGCAAGCAAGCTCTTGAAAAGGCAGACCTTTTGGAAAGGTTTCATTTTGTTTCTTATTTTTCCACCACCTGAAATTAAAAGTTCACATGGCCAGTGTTGTTATCTAGAAAAAGAAAACATTATATTAAAAATTATAATTAAAAAAAAAAAAAACCACACCAAAATGAACACAAGGATGGTATCAAGCCCATATCCTGGTTTGATTACACCAACACAAATGCAACTGTCATGCAGAAAACTATTCCTGTTTTAGTCCCAGTTTAAACCAGAAGCTCTCATCACTACCATTGTACCGACCGAGGTTGGAAAAAGTCTTTTATCTCCCCTCCTCAAACAGTTTATTTATACTACTGAAAAGCTCCTGTGTATGCAGCTTTGCAGACAATAGCTTCATTTTGCCATATGTCTCATTGCAAAAATCCAACCATTTCATGCCTTACTGATGAAAGAAAAATGTTGCTGAGAAAACAAATCAATATTAGAGGTAAAGAATTCTATACAGAGAATGTAAGAATCACAAATTATATCCACTACCATAAAAGAAGGACATTAGTAGATGGCAACACAACAGATCAGTCAAGAGAACTACAATGCACTTAAAAAAAATCACTCATTCATATATGAAGAAGACAGGAGAACTGCTTTACGTCCCCTGTATACTCCTTACTGTGATATATTTACACTTAACCAACATAATATTTTCCACCCAAAAAGTGAGTAAGAAGCAGGTGCTCTGAAATACAACTCCTGTATTTTTCTAAGACATTTGGCCTAAAGTTTTATATTACCCAGGCTCCACTTAGCATTACTGCTGCTCTATGAAAGATCATTTCCTCTTCATTTTATATCATCAACATTGCAAACTACATTATGAATTACTACTGTGCTCTAAAATTTCATATTGGAGCACAAGGCTTCACCAGGAAGACAACATTAAGATCACACTTATTCTAGGGCTACTCACACAGAAAAGGTTTAACATACAAAGAAGCATTCCTAGTAACCCTGCCAGCGCCACAGTCCCATCTGCCCACTGATTTTTACAAAAAAGTGGGTTTTGAGAAAATAATAGCATGAAGCTTTTTGCAACAAGATCACCTGGAAACACATTTCAGTTTCCTGACAAAGTAAAATTACTTTTAACTCTTCAGTGACAAGACCTTCTGCGCATCTTCATGCATTTTATTAACAAATTAACTGTGACACTAACTACTAATCTCACCCATTATTCTCATCTATTTGCTTTCATCCATTTGTCAACAATGAAGAAAGAGCAATGTGCAGTAAAACCAGAAGTACTGCATCTTGTCTAAGTGCTTGTTTTACTACCTACAGAAGGAAGCAAGGACCTTTATTTTATTTCTGTATCCTCCCCAGATTCCCCAGACAGCAGGTGCTAACAAATCCACAGCAGCAGCTTCAAGACTGCTTAAATGTACAGAAAGCAAATTATAGCCCTCCTGGATTGCTTATAGTGACTAAAACAAGCTGCAGCAGAGGGATCCTGTTCCCTTCACCGAGGACACAGCAAAAGGCACAAATCAGGCTCATCATCTATGATCCTGGATTTAGGCATGAGTGGACTCAGTTTCAAAAGACCTAATTCTGAAAAATATGGACTTGCTCCAGATCGGCATGGCCCACTGTTCTTTGGCTAAGTGCTGGCCATCATCAACTCAATTTCAAAATATTGTTTTATTTTAATTAATTCATTAAACATATTAATTACAACCATCTAGGTAACTTTTACTGGTGTAGTTAAGAAGCAATGTACTCAAATAATAAAAAATTTGATGTGTTTAATGTGTTGCTTTGCCTGAGCTCACAAAAAGAAAAAAAAAAAAGAGTAAGAGTAATGAAATGACACCGACCTTCACGGAAGTTAGAAGTTTCAAAGTAATTTTGCTATGTTAAATAAGAAAAGTATCTCCTTCTCAGAGTGGGGCTGCCACACCTTATTTCCATTAAAATAAACAGACATATAACTTTTGCAGAGCTATGAGCATTAGATGATCTATTAAATGATCTCCAAACTAGATTTTAATAACTTTTAAATGTGATTAAAACTACCTCGTGCACACCACAAATCAAAAACAAGTAAGCAAATGTGGCAACTGTAATTGTCCAATTAAAATAATAATTTTTAAAAAATAATTTCAAGGCAGGAAAGAGTTCTCAATCTTGCAAACTCTTTCAGAGGTTATAAAATGCATTTCTAACAACCAAAGATGCCATGCAGCAGCACTCAGGCACATAGGAATTCGCAGGTGCACGGCAGGAGGAGGTATTGCAATGCTCGCCGACTGGATCGGGAACAGCTCGAGCCCCCAGAGCACCTCCCACACGCCCCTGCCTCCCACCGCGGTCACCACGGGCAAAGCCCCGACAGCAGGCAGCGCCCGGCAGCCCGGCCGCGGCGGAGCTCGCGGGGCACGGAGAGGCAGGAGCGGGGACAGAGGGGCGGCAGGAGCGGGAGAGGGGGCGGCAGGGGCGGGGACAGAGGGGCGGCAGGAGCGGGGAGAGGGGCGGCAGGAGCGGGGAGAGGGGCGGCAGGAGCGGGG